TTAATTGTGAAAAATGTCATCAAATTAAGTAATATAAATGTAGTTAACAATGAGCAGCTTTCAGAATTGTTCGCCTACACTTTATTTCCAAGTCTTGACGACTGGATTATGAATAAGACAGGTATAGTTATTAATAGATAATATATTTGTAATATCCCAATCTTATGAGTTTCATAGAAAAGCATAATGTATTGATAGTATTATTGTGTTCAATACAATGAAATAAATATATCAGAAGGGGGTTTTGTAGAGATTCTAATAATTTTATATAGTTAAAATCATGAATCAATTGAATGTAGACCACCATGGAAAACCTGGAAGTAGTGAACAACCGTTTCACCCTAGTATTGGACTGCTAAACAGTTCGCATCCATTATCCTGCGAAAGAGATTCGACCCGAGAACCTTCGATCTCTTGCGAGAACGCTTAAGCTATAGACCACTAAGCCGGTATTCAAGGGTGTTAATGTCTAACTTTAAACGATTGACGAAATTGCCTGACCAGAAGAACATAACCAATCTAGTTGCCTGAAGTAAACTAAATTTTATGGGGAAATCAATGTTGTTGTTGTTTTTTTTTTTGATTTACTTTATTCATTTTTATCTTACAATAGATTTTAGTATATAATATGACTATGATACTGAATAATTCAGGGGAAAGAGGATACAATAAGCAAAAACATAACAAGAATAGAGGTTTATACATTGTGATGGTCTCCATTGTAATAGTCGATTACAAATCATTCGACATGACTAACAGATTCAAATTACTTGGTTTCGAAAATTAATTTAGTTTTAAGGTTGACTTTGTTTAGTACAGGTTTCAGATAAAGAATTATTAAAGATTGAATAGATTAATCCATCTATCTCGGTTGTTTTTCAGTAGTATGTAAACACTAAATCCTCAGTGAATCAAACTGAATACATTGAAGTTTCATTGTTAGCGAATTTTCTTTTGATAATTTACCATTTTCAACTCGATGAAATTCGTGACTTAACAAGATGAATAACTAGATTCGAGTCCCAGGGTGAACATCAACTCTGAGATGCAGGTACATTTAGCTGACGAGTCCCAAATAGGACGAAACACGCGTCCTGGATTCCGTTCTGATAATGCTTATATGCTCACTAGTGACTGACTCCATGAGGTATTTCCTGGAGTTCTAGTAAGAAGCAGTGACCAGTGAAGTTCGACAAGGTCTGTCATGAGATATCAACTCACTGAAGACATTAGTGAATGTTTGCTCAATTTCGTGGATTGTTTGAAGTTAAACATTAACACAGTTGGATGCCGGCCGGCTCAGTGGTCTAGTGGTTGAGCGGTCGCGTGCGAGACTGATAGGTCCCTGGTTCGAATCCCGCGAGAGTGGGTTCGTGGATGCGCACTGCTGAGGGGTCCCATAGTAGGACGAAACGGCCGTCCAGTGCTTCCAGGTTTTCGATGGTTGTCTAGCTTCAATTGACTCATGATTTCAACTTTGAAAAATACTGAAATCTCCATCTTAAGATGGTGGTTAAAGGTGGTGAACAGTAAACCTCCTGACCTCCAGTAGGACTAAAATATAATCACAATTTATTGATCACTGGATGGCATTCGATCAGCACTAACAAGGACTTGACACGCATGACAATGATCAACACCCAATGATCAATCAGTTGTGATAGTTTAAATTTAATTTGTTCAACTAAGGACGAAGGGAATAAACCAGGGGAGATGTTAAAATTAATCATACACTTGTTTTGTTAGTGTTTTGGTATTCGTAACCATGTACACCCATGACTTTATGTGTTATGGGATCTACTACCTTCATGTTTCATAGAATTTAAAATCACAATGTATAATGAAAAGTAATCAACTGTTGTAACTGTGATTTGAAATACAATAGTTGAAAGGCGGAAATATTTAATACTATTGAATTTTAACCTTCCGAAAAGCTAACCACTTACGAATGACAAACAGTCACATAGATGAAATTTCTTGCGCCAATTCATTGTGAATAATCTAACTTTCGTTGATCGTTTTGATGGTCAATTCTTGAAGAAAGACGTCTAACTATGCAATCTTACAAGGTAAAGCATGTAGAAATGACATAAAAATCCTATATATTCATTTGTTGATAACGTTTAGAGTTCAGTGCTCTGTAGAACACACTCATACTGCTAGGCCTAAAAATCCCATATCCAGTCCATGATCACGGTCGCACGTTGTTTAGAATTGTCCATTTAAAATGAAACAGCTAATCAGTACTTCTTAGTTTTTCATGGTTATTATTGAAATACATGAGAGTAAGTAATAATAAGTGTTTCCACCTAGTTCAGTACTGTGAACAGTTGTATGACGATGAGAATATCTAAATTCAAATAATCCTCAAGATTGATCGATTATCTTACATTGTACTGAGTTAAATACTCATCTCTACCTGATAAAAATTAGTTCCACTAGTCACTGATTCATAATCTCAATCAAAAACATAACAATCTCCACAACAATATACTGATAAAACTCTAAATATAGTGTACTGTAACTTATGTTTATAGTTGTTTACCTACCAGACAACATCCCGGCAGAGGCACTGAAAGCAAATGTAACAGCAACTGCCAAGATACTCCACATCCTCTTCAGTAAGATTTGGGACGAAGAACAAGTACCAACAGACTGGAATAAAGGATTTCTGATCAAGATACCAAATAAAGGTGATCTCAGCAAGTGCGACAACTACAGGGGCATCACTCTTCTCTCAATACCAGGGAAAGTCTTCAACCGAGTACTGTTAAACAGGATGAAGGATTCCGTGGACGCCCAACTTCGAGATCAACAAGCTGGATTTCGTAAGGATAGATCGTGCACAGATCAAATCGCAACTCTGCGGATCATTGTGGAACAATCAATCGAATGGAATTCATCACTGTACATCAACTTCATCGACTACGAGAAGGCATTTGATAGCGTGGACAGGACGACACTATGGAAGCTTCTTCGACACTACGGCGTGCCTGAGAAGATAGTCAATATCATACGGAACTCCTATGATGGACTAAACTGCCAAATCGTCCACGGAGGACAACTCACCGACTCGTTTGAAGTAAAGACTGGTGTTAGGCAAGGTTGCTTACTCTCACCCTTTCTCTTTCTCCTGGTGATCGACTGGATCATGAAGACGTCAACGACTGGAGGAAAGCACGGGATACAGTGGACAGGCAGGATGCAGCTTGACGATTTAGACTTCGTGGATGATCTGGCTCTTCTATCACAAACGCAACAACAAATGCAGGAGAAGACGACCAGTGTAGCAGCAGCCTCAGCAGCAGTAGGTCTCAATATAAACAAAGGGAAAAGCAAGACTCCGATACAACACAATATGCACCAATCAAATTACACTTGACGGAGAAGCTTTGGAGGATGTGGAAATCTTTACATATCTGGGCAGCATCATTGATGAACACGGTGGATCAGATGTGGATGTGAGGGCGCGGATCGGCAAAGCAAGAGCAGCATACTTACAACTGAAAAACATCTGGAACTCAAAACAATTGTCAACCAACACCAAGGTTAGAATTTTCAATACAAATGTCGAGACAGTTCTATTGTTTGGGGCGGAGACGTGGAGAACTACAAAAGCCATTATCCAGAAGATACAAGTGTTAATTAACAGCTGTCTACGCAACATACTTCGTATCCGATGGCCAGACACTATCAGCAACAAGTTACTGTGGGAGACAACAAATCAGATTCCAGCAGAGGAAGAAATCAGGAGGAAGCGCTGGAAGTGGATTGGGCACACTTTGAGGAAATCACCCGATTGTGTCACAAGACAAGCCCTCACATGGATTACTAAAGGTCAAAGGAGAAGAGGAAGACCAAAGAACACATTACGCCGAGAAATAGAGACAGACATGAGAAGAATGAACAAGAACTGGATAGAACTAGAAAAGGAAGACCAGGACAGAGTGGGTTGGAGGAAGCTGGTCGGTGGCCTATGCTCCATTGGGAGTAACAGGCGAAAGTAAGAAGTAAGTAAGTACCTATTTTTATATGAACAAACTCCAATGAATAATCATGAAGTAGATATGATGTATTTACTAGTGGATACTTTTGTAAATATTCGACAGTATAGTAAATTATCTAGAACATTTGTATGACTTCATGAGGTGAACATTTTTAGTCAATCATCTTTATAATGGATCATCTATTCGTAATCCATATTACAATTAAATAGATATATAATAATGATAAATTAATCAAAGCTACCACTTTACTTCATGGAGTAACATATCGTCAACCAGAAGTACTATATACAATAGGTTATAATATATAATATAACTCAGATACTGAATAATTTCGGGGGTGGGGGAAGGGAGGGGGTGAACAATAAGTAAAAACTTAAAAAGAATAGAAGTTTATACATCGTAATGATCTCCATTATGATAGTCAATAACAATTCATTCGATATAATTAACAGTATGAAATTGATTGATTACGAACATGATAAGGATATAAATGTGTTTTTGATTGAAACCTAGAACCTTCGGACCTTCGTATTTCGCATACTTACTGCTAATGAATCCCATACTAAGACGAGTTTTTATAGGAGTTCTAACTTCAATCGATATATGAATTCAACTACTCAACATTACTACAATCACCATCAAAACTGCCCCCCGCTTTCTGATGCAAAAAGAAACCCATGAAAAATTGTTTCATTTACATTGAATGGGAGTATTTACTTCTGTATTATTCTTATTATTCTTACTGTTTAATGATATAAGATCAACTATTAGTTTATAACATAAAATTAGTAATCAGGACCTTCGTAATTTCGAATATCGCATGTGGAATCGTGAATGCTTACTGCTGAGGAGTCCCACACTAAGACAAGTTTTCATAAGTGGTCTACCTTCAATCTGATTCATCTATTCAACTACTCAACATTACTACAATCACCATCAAAACCCCCCTTTCTGATAATAAAAAAGAGGCCCAACAAAAATTGTTTCACTTACATTGTATAGGAGTATTGATGATATAAAACCGACTATTACTGTATACCATAAATTGGTATTCAAATGAATCCTTTTTTATAATTTTCTATATTAGTAAGGAAAGGATGTTTTTCTCTTTTTTTCTTTGTATGTACTTAGGTTTATTAAGCAATAGAATTAATTATAAGAAATAATTCATTATCCGTCATTCTGATTGGTTTAGAGATGGGAAAATTTAAATAATAAACAATTTTTTTTTGTTTTTGAAAATGTGAAATATAACAATATTAAATCATTAGTCGATTGAAGCTAGACCAACATGGAAAGTTTAAAAGTACTGGACGGTCGCTTTGTCTTTATGTGGGAATAAGGTTAAGACCGTAATCCTCCCACCCCCAACCTTAAACCATAGCCCTAAACCCTATTACTAAACCCTAACCCTAAACCATACCCTAAACCCTAATCCTAAACTCTAACCATAATCCCAAACCCTAACCCTAACATTTCTAACCAGTTAGGAACCAACAGACACCAACACAAAGAATTTTTGAGACCTTATCATGGCTCCTGAAGCCGACTACTATGGAGCACTATTATTTGAGAACTTCTGAACATATATCTGACCTTGAGAAGTTTTTGAGGCATGTAAAAGAACAGTGTCCGCTTTAATATTTTAGTTTTGTATAATATATTTTTACTGTATACTGTCTTCTGATTGGCTAATATTTCTCAAGGTCATTCAAGATTCGTTCAAAGGTCGTCCATAAAGTTCAGTCTCGCCGGTTGTGTGCTCACTTTGGCCCTATCTTTAGTATGCTACTTATAAGTAACTAAAATTTTAATAACGAAAATTGTATTTCTGAGATTTTGTGACTTGATGTAAACTGCCTCTTCAGAGTAAATTATTATCCAACATGAAATTCACCCAAGTTCCCTACGGTTTACTTTATACGTTAAATGTAACACCACATCACATATCTCTGGTCTACCAAATATTCACATCTGATATTCCTTTAACGCCCATGTTGAACATCACAAATACTCACATATCTGCTTTATCTTAATATCTATTCAACACACTGAAACCACTTCAACACAATCTGCTCAATGTAGTGAAAAATTCAAATCAAAGATCTCGGTTTTATTCACCAATAAATACAAAACAATTGTAAGCTTTTATGATGTATTCCTACACACTAGCATTCCACCTGGAATGTTTAGAATTCGTTGATGGTTTACTAGAGAATGATCATACTCTATGTAGCAGGTGCCCACTAAACATTAGTTCAATCATCAAATCCCTCAAACTATGCTCAGATCCAACAATATTCACTTTCTCAGACATTCTATATAAAAAAACGGATAGAGTAGTCATGCAATCTCCAGTATCTCCGACTGTTGCAAATTTATTCATTTCCCACATTGAGTTGCTTATGTTTGCCAGCACCATCAGACCACGCATTTGGCTCAGATATGCAGATATCACATTTGTCATTATTCAAAGGACTCTTCCTAGGAATTTCGCCAAGCACATAAACACGTTCTCAGATCACATCAAATTCACTTTCTAAAAGGTTGAAGAACATAATCAACTACCAATTATAGACTGTTTAGTTAAAAGAAATTCGAATAGTAGTCTAAATCTGGCCATATATCGAAAATAGACACATTCAAATCGATATGTTGATTTTAACTCTGAACATCCATTCAGCACAAACATTTCCGTAGCCCTTAATCTTTCCAGAAGAGCAATCAAGACCTCAGAAGTAGACAAGTTGAGAGAAAAAGAGAATACAATCAACATACTACGTCCTAACAATTTTCCCAAAAATATTATTAAAAACATATTAAAATCAAACTGTATTTCTGTACATGACAATCCTAACGAAAGATCTTGGATTGTTACTGTGGTTTTTTCTTACCGACAAGGTACAACAGAAGAATTATAACAGATAATACAAGCGTACAAAATGATATACATATCCACATTAATCCGTATATAAACAAGGGGTACTGAATAGTACAACATCTAACTAACAGTCTTCAATCATTGGATACTCCAGTGCTATCAGAGTATATTGATATAATAACACCAGTTACATACCACAGAAAAGTTTACATAAAATTCAATACACTAACAAAATAAACATAGAAGATCATACAAAACAGGTGAATGAGAGTACAAATGAGTATTCCAGATCAGATTTTGATCCGTGGAAATGGCTAAGATGAACCTTTGATGAATCAATTACATTCAAATACTAAAATATAGTTTGATTTATCTATTTTTGGAATGTATATTTTTGAAGTTGATAATGGTGTGTCCGTTGACAAATGTGGATGTGAAGGGTAAATGATTCTTGATGTAACTGATGAACAAAATGGAGTAAGATCCAAGAGATAATTCTCCATTAAATCTTTTAGTATTATCACAATGAATGATGAAAATCCTTTTGCCTTTCGTATAAATGCTTCTATCTGACTTGACGATTCCTAAAATTAAATCATTCAAAGAATATATAAACTTAGTTGAAATCATGAGTCAATTGAAGCTAGACCAACATGAAAAACCAAGAAGCACTCGATGGCTGTTTCGTCCCATTATGGTACGTCTCAGCAGTGCGCATTCATGATCCCGTCTGGCGAGATTTGGACTCACGATCTACCTGTCTGGCGCGACACTGGTAGGTCAACTATGAAAAATACTGCAATGTTCACAAAACCCCTTCTGAATAAACTTAGTTATTGAACAGTTTTAAAAACAACTTTATTTACTCTAAAATTCAGTATATGCCAGTGAAATGAAGTTCATAATGACGAAGTTTCTTCCTTTAAAATAACAGTAGTAAATATTTCCCAACTTTAACATCCACCTACAAATTCATGGCCCCTAAATGCCCTGGTACGACTGAGAGTGGGGAGAGTGCGCTCTCCCTCTACAAATGCTTTCACATGGCCAAGTGTATATAGCCTCTACCAGGGAAGTTCTACTCACTGCATTCTAGTGGCAAGGGTGTTGTTCACGAAAGTGAGGGGAGGAAGAGAGAATGTCCGGCACTTTAACCGAGTCGATGGACACGGAAATTTCACCTAGGGGAGTTGGAAAACCCTGATTCCAAACCAATGGTGCATATGGGCTACAATATCCTGAGGGAACAAATAGAGTATGAATCAATCGTTAGTCACCGGCTACCATGGAACTGCACCTCCTTATGATGCTCCACTGTCTTGTGGATCGGATCTTTAGGTCAAAGACTCCGAGTGTGGCTACCTAAGAAAACCACCTGCTTCAGTTTGGGCACCTGGGCATTATCATAGCCTTCACACAAATGAAATGAGATTTGTCTGGGGCATATATATCTGGTGCTTCCTTGTACCAATATTTATGGGTTTAAATAATAAAATAAACAAAGTCATGGTAGGTAATATTCATCAAATAAGAGAATTATGGAGCATCAAGTTAGTTTGGAAACTAATAGATAAGCTGAAAGGAATGAATTTCAAATACTTTGATGATCAGAACTGTGTTTAGTTTGAATGGAGTCAACAGCGGTGCACTTAACAACAAACTATGTAGTAAACATATCCTAAGGAAACTATCCCTACTGAGCACAGTAATCAGGTACTATCTAAATGAAGAGATGATCAAACGATTAGTTACATAAATAAGGTGATGTTTATCCAACCACTTTTCATTACAATCTATCTAACATGTAAAATTAATTAAACGACCATGAGATGAGTTCTGTCTACACTGTATCAACAAGCTGTGTTCCTTGAGACTGATAGACTCGTTTCATGGGCTACGTTCGTGAAAATCATGGTTGGACATTATTTATGTCTGTTGCTTCAATAACGTAGAATTTGTATTGCTTCAAGTCCCCATGTCGAATGGCATTAATGAATGAAGGAATAGCATTTTCCTTAACTTGTTCATGAAATAACCACCTGGAATAAGTAAACATATTAAAACAATTGTTTCAACATAGTGATTAATGAATCTTTAGCTAAACAACTCCAAACAAGTTGTTCACTGAAATGAGTTTCTCACCTAATATTGTCAATAACTCCTCCTGTACCTCCTCCGAGGGCTACTGCCTGTCCCAAGCCCGGGTAAATGAGGAGGTTTGGGCATGGTGCTAGCGACCCCATCCCATAGAAAACCAACCCTCTAAAAAAACGCTAACCAGAAAAATCTTATGGATGTATATACCATATATAGTTATGTAACGAATAGATGATGGTTGAATTCAACATCAGGAAATGAATCAACAGAGTTAAAGAATCACTTATCTCTCATGAAATTTATCATGGTAACTATTAATGAATAATACGATTGTTGACTCTGAATATTCCTTATAAGCATTAACTCACTGTGGTTGAGTGGGCAAACTACCTAAGAAAAAGTGAACTTTGAAATCACTTACTTCACCAAAACTTATTCGCTCCATTGCTCCCCATTTCATACTATGATGTTGACGTAAAGCTACCAATTTCTTAACGAGATTAAGAGTTGATTGAACATTCCCTTCAGCAAGTTGAATCTTCAAAGAGAAAAAGATTGTCACATTCAGAATGATTTGTTAAATTGTTTGCATTACAATAGTACTAGATGACTGAACTATTTCTGTCAACCAAAATAAATGCTGTCACATGTGGTATTCATTTCAAATGAAGAATCTGTCAACTTATCACAAATCTTATATAGTTGAGATCATGAGTCAATTGAAGCCAGACCACCATGGAAAACCTGAAGCACTAGACGGCCGTTTCGTCCTATTGTGAGAATCCTCAGAAGTGCGCATCCACGATCCCAACCCAGGACCTATCAGTCTCGATCGTGAGCACTTAACCGATAGACAACTGAGCTAGTCGGCATCCAAAGGTGTTAATGTCTAACTCCAACCGATCCACAAAATTGAGCAAACATTCACCAATGTTGTCAGTGAGTTGAGGAGTCTCACAATATGACGAAATGGCTGTCCAGTGCTTCAAGGTTTTCCTTGGTGGTCTACCTTCAACTGACTCATGATCTCATCTACATAAAATTACTAAAATCGCCACAAAACCCCTTTCTGATAATTATTACAAATCGTTCAATACAAAACAAGGCTCGTATGTCAATAAAATTAGAAATACACCTGACGAAATTGGTTGGAGATTAGGCCGGTTACCCAGTGAGTTCACTCATGACTTTACTTTGAAATCAGAGTTTCATTTGGT